TCTCTCTCTCCCTCTCTCCCTCCCCCTCTCTCTCAGGCTTTTTGATCGTCCTCCTCTCTCTTTGTGTCGCTCCTACTCTCTCTCTCTCACCGTCTCGGCTTAGGTCTTAGTGTACTTGGTTTGGCCGTTCTGAACCTGGGAAGAAGCGAGATCATTCCTTATGTTCCCATGCCTCGGAATACTGCCTGATTTCTTGGTATTTATGTTGTGTCGTTCCCTGTTATGCTTTTCAGATTGCCTTGGGCTTGCTTCGCTTACTACTGCTGTTACTCCGATGACTATAACTACCGGTACCACTACGACCAGTATTGGTATTCGTAGCAGGTCGTTACTGCTATACCTATGCCTTCATCACAGGCCTTTCCCCAAAGAAAAGGTGGAGCCATCTGAATCTAGCGCAATAGCATAGTAATGTGCATATGTTGTTGCGCATCTGTATGTATGTATGTATGTATGTATGTATGTATGTACGTAGGTAGGTAGGTAGGTAGGTAGGTAGGTAGGTAGGTAGGTAGGTAGGTAGGTAGGTATGTATATATACAAACTTACAGTTTACACGAATGCAATGTACGTCCTATCATGTATATAGTGCATATGTATGCTTGTATGCATGCAGGTATGCACACCTAGAGTGCACTGGCATATGGCATGTCTTACGACAATAGCATTGGGGAGATATCCTCTATCTTGTCGTGTCTTTACAATTAGGGTCTGTCGGGCGGGTTGGGTTTGGATCAGCATCTATACAAGACTCGTGACGCTTGAGCACCGGGATAGGATTCGAACACAAAGCCCGAATAATGTAGGGATCTGAATAATTAGAACAGGGCTTGGGGGTATTTTATACAATACTTAGAAAAAGGACCCCCCCCCCCCCCAATAGTATAAGCAATTAGTAAGGCCCCTGCAGCATGTGTCTTCACGCGGTGTGCCCGATGAGCCATCCTAAACTTCCTAAACCAAACCCTAAATCAACAAAAGCGGGGAGCATAGACCCTAACCCCATCTTCTGCATTCCTAGAGCCTAAGACCCTGACCGCCCAACATTGAAAGCCTTCAAGCTCCCAGACCCCGAACGACCCGACATTCCAAAGCCCTCAAGCCGTAGGATTTAGGGTTTAAGGTTTAGGGGTTTAGGGTTTAGGGTTTAGCGTGCGATCCTGAACTCCCAACTGCGACGCGACTCTTGTTCGAACGGGGCCTGTGAAGGTGACGCTGGCAGCCGCCAGGGAGGTTGCCGGGGATCGCGCTGTCCTGAAAGCGACGTTGGACCGTCCGCTGCCCTAACAGGATGTAGGTTGTAGGCGGTGAGGGTTTCGGGGTTTTGGATTTAGGGCTTGAGGCTTGGAGCCCGGGGTCTTGGCTTTGAGATAAGGTGTCTTCTGGTCTGACGATGTGCTGGCTTGTTTCAGGTTTCGGGGCTACGGTGTAAAGTTTAAGGCTTAGGGTTTAGGGTTGAGGCTGGTGTATCCCGCATCCGTTGCGTGAGTGTTTTGTAACCCCAAGCCCCAACTGCCCGAGTTTGGTCTTTGCACACCTACTGTAGACGCCCGATTCATGAGCATTCACCCTGAGGCGATTGTGACATGATCCCAGTTTTGATGGGTGTTGAGCCAGGTACGGTAAGGTGCTCGAAAACCATGATCAAAGCCCAGCTGTATAGCCGTCCTTAAACTTTATAACCCATAAAAACAGAGAACAAGGCCTGTAAAGCCCTACAAAGACCCCTATAAACCCTTCGAGCCCCTTCGATGGAAAGCCCCGAAATTAAACTCTAAACACTAAACCCCAAACCTCAAAACCCCAAACCTCAAAACCCGAAGCCTCAAAACCCTAAAACCCTAAAGCCTAAAACCCTAAACCCTAAGCCCTAAAACCCCAAACCCTAAAAACCCCAAACCCTCAAAACCCCTGAAACCCTAAACGCCCCAAAACCTCAAAACCCCTAAAGCCCTAACGCCCCAAACCCTGAACCCTAAACCCTGAAACCCTAAACCCTAAACCCTAAAAACCCCAAAACCTCAAAACCCACTACCCTAAACCCTGAACCCTAAACCTGCAAGGCTTGAAGGAGGGCGGCTCTGAAGAAGCATGGCAGGCTCCCCGGCCGCTGTCGGGGTGATGCCATAATATGTCAAAGATCTCCAAGGGTTTAGGGTTTAGGG